AAAATAAACGTTTGTAATGAATCTTAAAGTGACTCATTTATTTTTAAATCTTATTCTCGCTACTTTCGAAAATTCGGCTCGTGTGCTTCGCACCGCATTTCGTAGTCGAGTGAAACTCGAATACCATCTAGTTTCAATACTGTTTTTACGTTGCTTGCACGGAATTGGAGTAAAAAAGTGCACAAAACTCCGATTTTTGATTTCGACTCTGTTGGATTTCAATTAGTGAACATTGAAAGAAATTTTTCGTGGAAGTTGATGTTTAAGTTATTATAGGTACAGAATTCTGTACAAGCTTCTGTAACAGATGATTTTACTGCCTTTGGTATTGGTGATTGTTTTGAAGAAGAATAAAAATCGTGAACAGTTTTTTGACATACAAAAGTTAGTTTATCTATTTTTGAAAGATGAATTGACACGTGCGCGTAAATTATTAGCACTATTAAAAGATGAAAACTCTAACAATTTTTTGTATTTACTGCAAGACACACATTGTTGTCGATCAATATTGACAAAAATGATATGAAAGTATTGCCAACATTCGTTTGATTTTTTTTGCCTTTTTTTTCTAAGAATTTTATTGATCGATCATTATTTCTAATTAATTTTTCAAGCTTTTCTCCCGATAAAAGCTTTTTACTCATGCTATTTGTGGCTTAAAAAACACAAAGAAATAGTACAATATCTCGTATTGTTCATTTTTTATTCATTGGTCCACTTATTTATCCTTTCAAAATATCGAACTTTTGGGGTGTGTGGATATAGAGAAGAGAAGAGAAGAGCAGAGCTCACACTCACACCCACTCTATGAAACTGATGTTAATCATATGTTTTATTGTTAAAGTTACAAGATTGTTAATTGCAACACCATCAATGAAATAAATTTTTCCGAAAGAAACCCAGCTGTGATTGTATGAATCAAGGTTTCTTACTGTAAACAGAGCTAGATATTTTCTTGGCAGAGTTGATCAATTTATTAAATAAAAACAATCATTGTATTTTTAATCTTAAGGTACTCAAAAATCTATCATCATTCGGGTGATTCGACATGCAATGACACAACTAGATAAATTATTTCCCGATATTTATTCAAAATTTTCAAGAGGAAAACGCAGCTCAATGGTAATACAGTCGGAAACCGAATTATCATTATCAAAAAAAATGGCCAAAAAGGGAGATATATTTGCAATATGCGATGAAATCGACACTTTACTGGAGAAGCTATCGGTGTTTTCGGCCGGTGAACGAGCAGCAGCTGCTGGAGGCAAAATTCTATGCCAAGGCTTTGATTTAATCGAGGATGAGACGCGTGGTACCGGCCCTCATACGCACACAATTTATTCAGCAAAATTAGCGATGTTGGGTGCCAGTACTGGAGAAAAATATGCCAACAATATGCTAAATTTTGAATCTGATAATGGAAATGATGGTGTCATTGCCCGTATTGGAATGCATGTTGTACCAACTTTACCGCCTAAAACACGTGCATCAAGATCGGTATTTACTTCAATACCAAATATTCTCCAATGCCTAATCATTATCCATCATCTTGCTGCTGAAAAATTACAACTTCACTTTGATCAATCTCAAGCCGATGCTGATAATCAATCGGAAGAACGTCAGTGACCGCATTATATTCGATTAGCTATCTTCTCTGATGAAGATCATCATTGAGATTTTGTTCATCAACGAATAAGTTTCTAAAATAATAAGATACCAGAATTTTTTTCAAAAGAAAGACAAACTTTGAAATTTTTTTAAAGTAGACAATCGAATGATTTTTAAGAAACTTCACTCATTTAATATACTAAATTCCTGGAATTTTTAAGACATTTGAAAAATTTTAACGCAAGAGAAAATAGGATTTTTATAATTCTTATAATGCATTGGTATTTATTAATTGTTGATACTGATGAGAATTGCAAATAGATTTCACTGAAATTTTCGAAACCATAACAGCTTACTTTAATTTCATTTAATTCCTTATATTTATATAGCTACAGTTCCAGAATGGCTTCAGAATAGTCGTCAGCAACATGGAATAAATACTCCAATATTTCAAGTTATTAATGGTGAACAAGCGCCGCTTCCTACATATAAACCAACATCAGTTGAACTTGAAGCAGATGGTTCCTATATAAGTGCATCTGGAGTTGTCTGCCAATATATAGAAGATGATCTCAACGCTGCAAATTTATCTAAAGATAGTAAGCAGTATGTTAGGGCCCTTCATCGGAAAACAGGAGTCAAACTTCCCCGATATTGTGCCTGTATGAATCTTCTTTACCATTCCATCTCATGGTGCTATGAAATTCTGGACAAAATAAATTTTGTTGCTGGTCTGCATGCATCGAATCAGGAGCTGGATACGGAATTTGCTTTAGCTGCGGAACAACTGGTTAGAAGAAAAGTCGAGCAAATGCCAAAAGATTCGCAGGGTCGACCAATTATGTTTATCCCGAAAAAGGTTGTTCTTGCTGCAATCAAATTATATAACTTCACCAAACAATCATCCATCGACTTCTTCTCATGCGATGGTGTTGAACGATTCGCAATAGAACGATTAGTAAAACGTGCTCAATTAAAAGAAAATGCTCAACAGCTTAGAATAAATAAGTGAGTACTCAATAATGTTTTGTCTGGAAGAAACACATTTTCAAGAGAGAAGAAAATCTTCGTAGACTACGTTTCTAACTATGGTAGAGTACCGTTTTGCATCCATTATCATTTACATATAATGAAGAAGCTACAGGAACATTTCTGCATGGCTTATTGAAACCTCGTAATTAACTCTAGTAACTACAAATATAGCATAGATAAAGTCAGTGACGCATCATTTAATCGAACGAATCAAAATATTAGACCGCGCTCGTCAATCTCAGTAGAAAATATCGAATCGAAATCGCTTCTACTGGATCCATTTCGATAACTTCTGCATTTACACCTCGAAAAATGCTTCCATTACCACTAATACAACAAAAACGCAAGTCGATTGTACACTAAAATCTTATTCTTCTACTCTAAAATATCAGAATAATGTTGACACTCGAAATATTCAATGTTATTGATTGAATTGATAAGTTCAAATACAACTTCTTATGTTAATAGGTATCAACATTTTTTTTAGTTTTGATATTAATCTTCTACACCTGTAGAAAATTTTCCCTTCCAGTAGGAAAGAGCGATGACAGAAGGCTGACCGTGTTCAAGAGAAATCGACCCCTACACCATATCCAACTTTCCCTCAACACACACGTCAAATAACGCCTGAGGAACCTACTAACACTCAACGTCTGTATTACTCAAAGACTCCAACTTATCTCAGATCACTATATTCCAACATATAAATACATGAATATTTACCAGCACAGCCTCCTCTAAAAGCATGGTCCGTTGTAGAAACTATATATTACTCTAAAGTTTATTAAAAGTACCATAGCAACATTGACTAAAAGAGAAACAACAATTCAACAACAATCGTCGCATGGAAGTGAGACATAACGATAATGAGTGATATCCACATCGTTTCGATATTCGTAGGGTTAATTATTCGCAACAGGAAGGACCTACAATTGTATATTATATATTCTTTCACAGCTTATTAAAAGTACTATAGAAACATTGACCAAAAAAGAAAGAAAAACTCACACTGCATTCATCTCATGGAGGTGATATTTCATGATATTGAGTAATATCAACACGACTTGGATATTAGTATGGCTACTTATAAGTGCTCGGAAGCAGCTGCGATCTTTTATTATATATTATCCGGTAGCTTATGGAAAGTACTAGGAAAAGATTTAAAAAAAATTAAAAACAACTTACACTGCTATCATTGCATAGGAATGTTGTATTGTGATATGGAGTAATATACTCAGGGGTTTGATTGTCGTATCGTTACATATGCTTATATGAATGGTACGATAGATCGATTTAAAATGAACGGTTATTTAGCTCTGGAAAAATGGAAGGTTCCCTTATTGATGACGGAAATTAGTATATGTGGGTGCATAATAGTTGACGTTACTCAGTATTGGTTATTAAACTCAGTTATTATCTGGCAGGATTGATGGGTACATGTTTTTTATCCGTTTTTTTTTATATAAATTACATAAGGCAATGTCACATTCATAATGATTATGACCAATAGCTAGTGGTTACGCCGATGGCTAGCCAAGTTCACATCTTAATTAAACTGAAAGCAATGAACATTGTCTCACTAGAAAAACATATTAATATCCTGAAATAATACATTCATTTCATATCACCGAGAGCTCTGACATCGATGGCCTTGATGAATATGAAACTAAATAAGTGATCATTGTGACTATATTTTATGGGCGCGTCACCGATTGTGTATCTTTGGTAATCTTTCTTTTTTATTTTTACAGGAAGCAGTCAATATACAATGAAAAGTATGTCCTTCTCTCTATGGAATCACCATTTATTTTATCTTCGTGGTTATCAACGAAAACTACCGATTTGAATTGGTCAGGAAAGTGGAATAAAAGTATTTCTCATGGTCGCACTATCCTTACCACACTTCAAGAATGTGGTCTCTTACGAGAAGGGCAATTTATCATGTATTGTAAGACACCTTCTTTCGCTAAATTAACACCCGCTGAAATTCAAGAAGACCCTGACAAACTGATCAGCCTTCAATCTTTCGGAATCACTCTCGATGTATATACTGCAGCTTACAACAAAATGGTACTTCCATCTCGTAACAAACTTAGCTCAGAAGGCATCGCATATATCTGTCAATCAATAGATTTCGTTCCTTATTATCATCTTTATCACCAAAAGGACATAATAGATGAATTCGATAAATTGGTCAAAAATGGCACTATAACACGGCAGCTTAATGATGATGGTATTACTAGTTATGTCGTCACATCAAGTCCAGTTGTTAATGGTGAGTTTTAACTTTATTCTAAAATAATTGACGATGCAAATCTTACAGATTCTTGCCTATATAATGTTATACGTGTAGCTGTGTCGATGATGAATTCATTAATCTCATGAACTATGTTTTATAAGATTCTGTTGTGTACTTAGAAAGAAAAACAAATCAATAAGTTCTAGATTCCGTTTACGATTTTCAATATGTCCGTTAAAATCACAGAGAAAAAAGTTAAATTCCAACTCAATAACCAAACTAACAACTCTACACCCATATTCACATCCCTATCGCCCATATGGATACAGCATCAGCATCGATATCGGCAAGTCACTCACAATAATACACACCAAGCTGGTCGGCAATACCAGTCCTATTAAAAAGAACTGAACGCCAATCCCAATTCTTTTTAAGAAAAATCAGCTTTAGTGGTTCTAAAATGAGCTAATTGACTGATATAAGTTTAGACTATTGACCAGAAACTGTACGAAGTCTATTGTAGAAAAGATAATCAGTATAAAAAAAATGTATTTTTCTTTCTTGAATCTGATTGATTTCATCATTTAGTAGTGCATTTTGTGAAGCAGACTGCGATATCAGTCTTAATCGTTCAATATTCTACTCATAAACCTTTATTTACTTCATTTTGTAGACATAACAACGTCTGAATCATATATTCAATTATCCGACGATGAAAATAATGAAAATCTGCCAGCTGTAGCAGGCCCCAATCAAGACTGCCATGGAACGAGAATGAAACGGAAAAGCGTTTCCGATGATATCAATAGCAAGAGATTAAAAGCTGGTAATTATTTGCGTAGTCATGGCTTTGTGTTGTTTCATTAAATGAGCGCTTGCTTAGTCAAAGAAGCGTTGATTATTACCACATATAGATTCACACAGTTCATCCTTTTTTTACATTGGCCATGATTACACGCTTCTATCAATGTTAAGCAATCGTGAATGCCATGCTTAGTAAACTTGACCGATCTAAAAAGAGAAGCTTAATTCACTTTGCATTGATCAATGAAATCAAGAAAATAGACCACGATCAGCTGCGTCTTTTACAATAGGTCGAATAGTCATTTAGAAAAATTACTATCGGATAAACTTTAGTTGATGATTTTTGTAATCTCAGTTATAGAATGAAACAGCATGCATGTAAATAGATGTCAAGCGTTCATTTCTTTCTCTTTTTCCTATGTCTAGATTCATAAGAGTATTCATTAATCCAAAAAAACTTAGAAAGGACTGAACATTGACTATTTCAGACACAGACGTGCTAAGATTAAGTTTTTCTCAATAGTGTACGTATCACCAATTTCTTTCTCCGTGGCATAAAAAAATAGGAGAACAGATTGAAGAATGATCGATAGTAAAAAAAATAAAATGTTCCGAATTGCAAAATTGAGTCATACACATACAAATAGTATGATGATTTTCTTCTAGTGCGATTTAGATCGTAGAGAAAATCCATTGACTGCAATTTGCCTGGTCTAGAATAGATAAAGCGTCGATTTTAATACGGCAATGCATTTATTATCTCACAAAACATTAATAGACTACAATGATTCAATTAAGTTTAGTTCTCATGGAACAGTATGAATTGATGTTTACTATTTATCAAGCCAAATATATTATGATGTTGTAGATGAATCCTTTCGACTTTAGATCGATAATGATAAGATATCGATAATTCTATTGAGTGAATGACTAAATAAAATCTCAAACACGAAAAATGTTCAAATATGAATGATGGATATTAGATGAAAGCTGTCCATTATCGGAAGTTTATGAACCTAATCAGATTTGATGACCGGGTGCTGGTGCACATCACATAATTCTTTCAAGCATGCCATCAATAGTGTTATCTGTTTCCCATCAATTATTTACCTAATTGAAGTTTAAAGTTTATTTTTCTCACTTATGTTTCGTTACATGTCAGTGACCTTTTGTTTTCAATCTAATAAAATTGAAATATAAATAAAGAAAAGTATTGGTGATTTTTTATTCTTTAATGACCTCTAATGTATATTAGTGTGATCGAATCAATCCAATAATATTACTATTTACTATATATCTATGATGATACGTAGATCGAATGTTTTTATCAATGCTATAACGATGTTGATCATCGGACTGCACTTATAGAATAATATTATTGATGATGCGACACATTATATTTAAAATAGAAATAACCGATTGAGAACTAAAGGATCTATACTTCCTATTCGTTTTAGTCCAGAGTGGTAATAATGAATTTATCGAGTTAATTGATACGTATAATACTGGTTCTTCTGAATCGAAACGAATGAATCAAACAATTTAATATATAACACATTGACTTTGATTAACGAACAAGACTACTTTAAACAATGCAGCCACTAGTTATACAAAAATAATGGTTTGAAAAACAAGAAATTCATTTAACCGTGAATATTCCCAAGCGACTTTGTGTATCTTACGAATTGTATTGTGTCACCACGCATACTAAAGCTCAATGAATAGTCGATTATCTATATTCTACAAGTAACGCTAATCGAGTGTCGATTAGCTTAACCCTAGACTGATATACGACCGTAGAAATGGAAGATTGCTAGCCTTTGTCTGACTCTAGAACCTAGAAAATCACAGGTTATCGGAACTTATTTTTTCAGGATTCATTCTTTTACAGGACTTGCGTATTTCAACAGTGTTCTTTCATTCTGATGCTATTTTCCAACACCCCTACCCACATGAACAATATCATCATCATCATTAATCTATGCTAAGTTTCACTCTTTTCGACACCCACACCCTTAAGAAAGTGAGATCTATCCCACGATACTTATGGACTTATCGAAAACTCCAAATTAATCCCACAAAGATAAATCTTAGTAGGTGCTGACTAATACTACCAATTATATCAAGACTTTGGCGGTTTCAGCTTTTAATAGTCACCTATATCATCAATGTGAAGTATTCTTCTTTTAATATAGATATTCTTACAACAAATGTAGCACAAAAATCATACCCATGATACAAAACACTGTAGTCATGACACAAGCGGCCCTATTCTTAGTCCAATGTATCACAGTTACCGTATCAAAATGACCACCTTCATGTTTAAAAATACGATAACTATCATCATGTATGCCACGACAGTGGTACATTGTACTATGACTATACTCATTTGTACGATGACCATGGTCATTTGTACGAAGCGTTACGGACAGACAGACACAGGTGAATTTCCGTTTCTAGACCCTAGCCTTTCAGTCTAGGGAAAGGTGTGATGTGTTCTTTTTTTACGTCATTTATCGAGTAGACAGTCACTTCACAGGCTAAAGCAATCTATTAATAAAGCATCATGTCAGGGTGGGAAGGACTGATAAATGAAACCATGGCTGGTGATCGAAATGAATCATTATTATGAGCAATTAAATAAGAAATGATTACTCTCCTCACTACAAAGTTCTATTTCATTTCTAATGTTTCTTAATAATACAAAATAGCAAGCTTTTTCAAATCCGAGCCTAGGTGCGCGTTAGTCCTTGAGTTCGGTTTTGTTAGTTTTACTCTAGAAATTTATTTATACTATTGCAAACAACCTGAAAAGCCATTAATACAACTACTTCATCAATAATTTAAGCAAATCGCTTTATAGTGCCAATAAAAATGACAAAAATTTTCATCTTATTAATATTTTAGGCCGACGAACAACTGTAAATTAAATAATTATCAGCTAACAACAATCAAGATGATCGGCCATGTCTACTTTATTTTAATTTTTAATCTTTATAATAAACTTCAGTTTTCTTGAATAAAACTAAATTTACACTGATTTCTTTTATTTTAATGTTTACATTTACATTTAACCTAAAAATATTTTGTCCCATCAGTAGACAAGAAATCGATCAGTGGGGGAAATGTTCATTTCAAGAGGAAACATGTCGTTCAGTTCAAAAAATATAGGCGCCTATGTATATACGTAGTATGTCTATATCAAACTGGGGTATCGCCGTCATTTGAAAACGATATTCAGAAAAATTGTTTAGAAACTATTTAAAGTTCTTCACATAACATCTTCCATTCTATAACAACTTCTTCATTGGAACAGTCATTAATATCCGACCGAGTCACATATCCGGGCATGTTTTAACATCATTTTCCATATAGTAACAAACATTCCTCTCATTGGTTTTGGTTTTTTCGTTGCACGCTCAGCATATACTATAAGTTTCAAACGTTCTCTTCTTATTCAGTTATCATACGAAGCATCTATCTCATACATGTGTAGATGAAAAGCACTTATGGTACCGATCAATTCTTTATCTAATTCTCATGAGATTTCACTTCCAAAATTGATTGAATAATCGTTTCGATTCAACTGAAGATTATATTTATTATTCTTCTAAAGTTCAATTTGTTTTTAAACTTAATCGTCTTAAACAGTTTCAAAATTATTGTTGTCTTCCGCTTGAATTTCATGGTATTAGTCAAATAAAAGCAGTAAGCTTTAAAAAGATGGAATTTTTAATTAATTAAGACGGTTGGCATGACTTGTGGGATCCTTATAAATTGTGTTTCAGAAAATGAAGAACAGAGAAGACTTAAAAATTACAAACAGTCTAGTTTATATTCTGGTCTACCCATTATTGTATAGTATCTAATGCAATGACAAGTTTTACGTTGTATTGAGTGGATCACTCGGCTCAGTTGTCAGTTGTAATTGATCAAATTGCTGAGTTTTTCGTTTTAGAATTCTATCCCAGTTCAGTCCCCAACCTAAACCACTTAATAAGGTGATTGATATTGCCCCCCAATACAGAATAACGAATGCTATATGATGTGGTTGTACAAAGTAATGATGATATAAAAAACAACCAAAATGAATAAAATTCGAAAATGAACAAACACGTATGACTGCTTGTCGAAAATACCAATCTGATGATTTGAACAATGCTATAATATTCAATATCGATACAATGATGTCACCATTCGATGTTGTTAGAACCCATAATTTAGCTGCATCCCTTGTAGATTTATCAGAAATATTTCCACCAAAAACTTTAACTGTGCCCACGGGTACAAATAAATATATGAATACTGAAATGCCCGGGAAGAATTCCGATATACAAAAAATAGATGTTAATTAATGAACACTTTATCATTGTGATGAACTTTGAAATAAATGTCGATCAGAATTTTGGATAAAGTCAACATTATTTTAATGATTGAAACTGATACGTGTTTTTGTATTTCGTTCTTATCTGAAATGTGTCATTGTAAGTTGTCTAAAAATCGTGACAAATTAGCTTTTGATTTATATTTTCATCGAACTCAATTAACCAAACATCGTCTGAAACAGTAAAAACGTTTTTACTTAATAGGATATTGATTTAGCTAAGCGAAGTGAGAAGCAAGGAAAAAGTAGCGCCATATAATCTCATGAAGCGTGGAAGCTAAGTTTTTCAACATACCACTTTGCAAGCTCATATATGATAAAATGCACCTTTCATCATAGCATTAGCAAACGAAAAGATGGAGATAAGAATATTCATCATCATTGAATATGATGTAAAACAAATAGAAGTAAGTAACATTTTTCGGCCATCAAACAATGGGTTCGAATATTGATAAAATTTGATTCTTTGCTTTGATCTTGTATAATGGAGGAAATGAAAATAATGACGCAACTGTACCGTACGCGACACCATTTAAATCTGATCATCACTGGCATGTTTTTACAACATGATCTGAACTTAACCGATAAAGGCAAAGAATAAATGTGGCTCGTATTCATCTTTCTAAATAATAATTTATGGACCATGGGTAGCTACCATTGTACTTATATTTATCGAAGAGTTCAGCAGATTCATCTCGAACTATTAACCGAAAATGTCTTTTCGAATACTGTTTTATTTTTAAAACTTATTAATGATCAAACTACAGCTACACAATATATTCTCAGAAACAATTCTCAGCAGTTATTTGAATCGTAAACCATTTGAAGATACTTAGTCAATTTCAAATAATTTCGAGTTTTACATGTCCCAATTTGTATTTATCTTTATTCTCGACAAATAATTGTTCCACTGCTTGAAGATAATCTTGATGAAGTTGTTCGATATCACTAGGAGTTGGATTATCAGTTTGAACGACATGAATCGGCTTACCAACTGTAAATATTTCCTTTCGCCTTATAAGTTTACCGAAAAATAGTATAGTTCACATTCTTACCGACAGTGACGACCTGACGTCGAAATGGTATATATCCCATGAATAGGAGACCCCAGGGAATACCATTGGGTATCAAGCCAAAAAAAGTACGCCGTTCATACAATTCATTTTCTCCAAACGAAATAACAGGCACAATGGATGCCCTACAATCATTTATACAAATTTATCAATCGCCAAGAGAAACAAAGAAACCTTACCCATATTTTAATGCTAGCTGAATAAACCCTTTTCTTGACTTCAAATAAAGTATCATTGTATTATTTCGTGTCAGCCATACTTCACGTCTGCCACCAATTATGATGACCAATGCATTTCCTTGGCCACATTTGCCACTCAATAGACACTCACAACTATTTCGTGATACACAACATGCACCTCAATATTTATTGGAAAACATTATCACCTATTATTATTATTATTATTCATTCAAAGAAAATTCAATTTTTACCCAATCCAAGTAACAGATCTCGTGTGAATGGATTGAAAAATTGCATTTTAAGAAGCATCAGATGTGGACGAATGCCTGGAAATAAACTAGAAAAGTGTGTTGCATCTGTACCGAAATTGCCGAGTGCTCCTATAGCTGCTACACCATGTGGATGATAACCAAATATATAGTTTCGATTGGGATCGAGATCTGTGCTTTTAATTAATGTTAGAGGAAAATACTGTGTCCAATGTGTCCAAATTGAACATCGACGAAGCCAATCTGACCATCGGCCACCATGTGAATCAGTGCGACGATCGAAATATAACCAATAACAGTAGACAAGCGAAACTGATAGGATAAACTTCGAGGACCAAAACCATGATAAGATAAAAACCGTTAATGGTACAATAAGTGGTGAAAATGCACAAAACGAAGTAATAAAACTTAAGATAAAAAAGTCAAGAATTCCTTTTAAATCCATATCTAAAAGATATAAAGAATGCGTAAATCAACATAATCAATATACTGGCTTGTCTAGATTTTGATGGCGCTTATTTATTTTGGGGCTATTCTGTACGAAGATTTACTTATATTTTTCAGTAAGGGAAAGAAAAGCTTACTCGTTGGAAATTAACCAATAATATCTCATCAACCCACGAGACAGACAGACAGAACAAATATAGGATAAGCAACTAGATCATTTGCGAAAGATGACAGTAACGGATATTTAAGACAATATCGAATCGTTAATTTACATAGGAAATCGAATTATTTGGTAGTGTTTTGTACGCCTATTTTTACTCAAATTTTCCCCAGAATACTTCCTTCCATCAATTGTATACCACGATTATTGCACGTGTACCTTTTTCAAAACTTACAGCATTCGATGCAACTGAATGAGTTTTATCAATTGATCTGTTATTTACTTCTAACTGAATCGTGTGGATGTGGATATATCGACGAGAAAGAGAATCACTGGTGATTATGTACCATATCCCTACCCTGTATAATTGACTTTTTTAATCTAAAAGCGAAGCAATTGCAAAAGTATGGTTATTTATTGTCTTTTATTATTATTGAAATTATAAATAAAAAATAATGAATCATTTCTTCATCACCATTTTGTCGTGTTTGACGCCCATATTGGTTGATGATGCCCATCATATAGAACAAGATTTCGATCAATTTGCATAACAAGATAATGAGGTTTCACACCTTTTCCTGCTGTTCGAGTACTCCATATAAGCTGATTCACAGCATCACGAATCACTAAATTACCGTTATCTTGCATTATTAAACGAAATGGCTCTTGACCTTTGCCAGCCGACTTAGAACTCCATTGTGCATTTACTGAACTAAAATCTCGTGATGTATAAACAACTAAATTACCATCGCGCTGCATAATAACAAAATAAGCATCGTTGGTAGCTCCTAAATATCCCTCTTGATACAAAGTAGCACCGTTTCCAAGCGTATCCGATGAATAGAATCTTGGTGATTCTCCAATCGAACAACCAATAAACAAGACGAGAATAAATACAAATAATATTGTCATATCTTTTCTTCTAGAAAAATATAAATATTTTTCTTCATGGAATGCATTCATAAAACGACTTGAGTATAATTAGCTATTGTCTACTCATGTAAAAACTGCGATTCTAAATCAATAGTGGATTGCGAAAATATTGGGAATAAATATAACCCAAAAGATAACATCCAACTACAAAATCTTGGCTTGCATAAGATACTGATTCGACATCTTCAGCGATCTATTTGTAAAATTAGACTGAATAAGACGCATTTCGCCTATCTATTTTATACCTTATAGGCGTCTTTTGCACTGTCTCACTGACTAGGCGTTTTTCTTCCTACTGCGCTTGTAACTATATGCGTTGGTAATCCACTTTTTTCATGCATTTCAATAATTTTATTTTGTTATCATTCTAAATATCTTTGTTGTGCCTGAAACAGCTTAGTGGACAATACCTATAATAGTGTTTAAATCGCATATCGGTTTCAAATGTCAGTACCTTGCAGGAGCTCAAGCAGATTAGAATTTTAGAAAACGCGTGTATGTATTCGACACTGTGACTCTTGAGTGTTGAATCACATTTTGATGAAATTGTACAAAAACAAGATAACAGGAAAAGCATCAAAATCAACATTTCATTATTGAAATTTCTCATATTGGTTTTTGTTCCTCGTAACAATGTAACAAATAGGAATCTTTAAGATGCAAAGGCCTTCGACGTTACGAAGAGTCAGTAAATAGAAGAAGAACGTTTGTTCGGTTCAATGACATCCACCACACTGCAGACAAGGCCGAGTAAACGATCGATCGCATTATAAGCAACATGAATGTTACTAAAGTGAAATACTATCAACTATGCACTATAGTTAATAGTGTAACTAAAAATAGTAACTGAACTGACTTTTAAAAAATGATTACTATGATAGACATTTGGTTACCATACTCGAATAAATGACTAAACTCGTCAATGATAGTCGTATTGAATTGCGTTTTCTCAGTTCTTTATTGTAAAAAATAAAATCTTTATATAGATACATATATAATTAAACACGAATAGCATAAGAAACAGCTTGATCTTTATCAGTTGAGTTCTCCTCGTGTATGATTGTTGTTGGTGTTTTCGAAAGTGCCGATTGACGACAATTCAATGATGCTCCACGATTTTGTCGAATTGAGACGGATTGTAAACGAGTTGGTACTGATGGTGATGTAATCAATGTACAGGCGGGCTTTACTAATGATGCTAATGGTACAACAGATCGATAGTTCATATGCATATCGAGTTGCCTCCACGTGCGAGTAATTTTATCAAGTTCACGATCGTAATCGCTTTTACTAGTTTTACTTGGTAGAATTGACAGTGCTTTCCAATTAATTGTTACGAATGATTTAAGATCATGAACAATAGGTAAACCAATTTTTACACGTAATACCGTATGACCGTAATTTCGATAGGCACCAATAAAATCATCAATAAGTTTCGATAACGAATCATAACTTCCATTTAATGGCTTATATGCAAGGTCACTACGACGACTGATACCTACTGCACCGTATATTTGACCGAATTTGACACCGAGAATAACATGACGATAGACTACCGAATTAAAACGTGTTTTAAATGATATATTAAAACGATCGAGACCAACAATACCGGTTGTTAAATAGAGTCCAATTAAAAATGCTTCAAAACATTTTATTGGTAAAGATTCTGTCATTCTAAATATTGTCATATATAATATATCAATTACGAGAATAGCATTTGTTTTTTCTAAATTCAAATTCTTACATATATCTAGCTTTATCCATGAGTCCGTAAATCGAACGATTAGGATTTACATAAAAAAATTGCATTCCCGTATAATTGTATTCGAGACGTTGTATATAATTTTGTATTTGCTGTAGTTTTTCTGCTACTGTCAATCGCGTACTAGTCGCTATATGATACGGTGGATCAGGATGCGTCACCGGTGGATAATTATCAATTTGGTTGCGTAAAATTTCAATATCTGTCACATCTAAGAATTCATTTACAAAAAAAAAGAACAGAACTGCCAGGTTCATAATTAAAAAGTTGAAAATCTCTTCAGTTGTTTTATGAAAAATAAACAAAAAGAACGGTTATATTAAGTTTTAGATTCTAATTAAAAACTTTTTCTCTATGACAAATACTTTCCATTCATATTTAATGCACAGTATCAATGCAATGCGCATACCCCACAAATGTCACTTCCAGAGCTATCGTGAAATAGTGTATCACATCTAGTCATAGTATAATAATCATGTCAATCTATTGGTCTAATGTGAGAAGAAGCAGTATATATGATCTTATCTAAAGATATACTATACAAACCAACTCAATCTATTGCGTAATTCAAATAAATAAAGAAGTTTTGAAAGCTATCCATGACTTACTCTTAGCATATTGTTCCATACAAAAAGACCACATTCGTTCAGTACATCGATCTGACAATGGAAGACCATCTCGATTTATATAACATAGAATAGTTGTACCGCTTCGCATCGGTTCATACCCGCAGGATGTTGTCATCGCCATTTTTTATCGATGAATCGATGTAACACTAGCAAAAACGAAAATAACTTGCGCGGTGTTCGCACACAAGAAAAAAACTCATTCTCATGACAAAGACTGTCAAAATCTGAAGAACAGATTAAATATTTATTTATTTATTTTTCGTTCCTTTTTGATACGTGTTCGTTCTATCGTGTGATCTTCGATAGAACGAAAAAAAAAATATGAATAAATATTCTTCATGTTCGATAGCAACTGAACAGCTGACTGTCTTCCATTTAAAATTAAAATTCCATAGTTACCTTGTATGTGAAAATTTTAACAATCTAGATGGCACTGTATACAAACAATGTTCTTTCTTCCTGTGTTTTTTTTTACATAACTATCATCTAATTAGAAAGTTTAAATCGACGATGACATTATTTAATATTCATGAGCGAATATAAATAACGACGAACTGAGAGAAACGATTAGTATTGCATCTATAGCTTTTCTGAAGTTTGCTGATAGTATTTACTTTCGAAACAAAAATAATGGCACAGCCAGAAGGAAGTGGATGAACTTAATAGAACATCCCTATTGTTAATCCTGTCAGATTTTATTTCCGCTCTCTCATTGTCTCGAACCGGTCACGTTATGAGATTAGATTATTATCTAACAATATGGCCTCATTCTGTTCTCGTTCATAGATAAACATTTGGTTGAAATTCTCTCTGCTTGAACTCTACTAACATACTTTCCGATGTTTCATTATGGAAATTATGATATATTTATTTTTAAGAAGTAATTTACGGTACACAAGTGCATTTATAATAAATCTGCATGTGATGTTCATCGTCATAATGATTAACAAACAGTACAATGATTTCAGGTTGTATGGAAAATATCACTATGATGTAAAAAAAACATGGAAAAGAAATCATTCGATGAATCTAACAAAGTAACACATCTATTTATGAAAACAAAGATCAAACTAAAACTTGTATAGTCATTTTAATCAGTATGTTCTTCGTGTACGACATGAAATATTTTCTGTAATGTCATCGCAAATGAATTATATTGAGTATTAAAACTTTTCGGTTTCTTTTCCCATGCGACACCAAATATATAAGCAGGTACAGCAGTTCCAAGAAGCAATAAGGATGTTTTAATATTTTCGAAATCAGTTACTGCACTTGTACCAATAAGCATTACAAGAATTGTAATGAATATAATCGGTATAATTATAGGTACTTTAATTGGTCGTTCACGTGTTGGATATTTAAAACGAAGAACAATTAAACCAACAGTTGTCATCAAGATACCTAGGAACATATCGTTAAATTAGATAGATAGCATATAGTTACAATGAAACTAGATGTGCCTTTTTTTCAAAATCTAGAAAAAGACTTTTCCGTACAATTGACGGTGTTATGAATGTAAAAGAGGTGTGATTCGACGAGAAAAATATCTACACCCACTGCCACACCCTGCCTCAGCATACACATAGGTTATAAATATCAATAACCTTCGGGCTTCTCTTGTTACGTTTTATTAACATGCTAGTAGGGAAAGTTTGTCGGGCACCTTATTTATTTCTGGCATAGTTTTTCGCAATCATAAGTGATTGTGATTTAATTTTATGATCAGTATACTTACTAATCCAGTTAATCATGCCTGCGCATATAATTAATTTTCCAATATTTGGCATAAAGAAAAGAAAAGTAAAACTGACGATAATTTCAAACCAAATAGCCAGCATAGGTACATTTGTTTTAAAATGTCTCATTGAAATTATATGTGGCATTAAACCATCGCGACCAGCAGCTAGAAAAATTCAAAATTTTTTGTCTTGATATTTGAATGCAATACCGAATTTTTATTTTACCATCAAACATTTGTACGACAGTAAAAATATTTCCCGATGCAGCTTAAATAAATCTTTATTTCTAAACTTCTGAAATAGAAAACCAACGATTCTTACCGCCAACACAAGACATTGTTACACCAATTGGTATAATATACAAAAGTGCTGGTAATACACGTTCAGCAAAGCTAACAGCTGTTGCATCCGATGATAGAATATCAAATGTAGATAGAGTCGTAAAATAAGCACTGAATGTTAAAAAATAAACGGCAATACATATAAACAGTGATATAACAATTGAAAGTGGTAAGAGACGTTTTGGATTTTTAAGATCATCAATAGCATTATTTAAATAGTTCCTTTAAAAAAATAGAAAAATAGAAAAATTTGATTTATTAAATTCTTCGGTTGATTTTTCACCATCCAGCATATGGATATAAGCCAGCATAAAATGCACTGGGTAGTTTATTATATGTTGAAGTTTCGAATGGTTCAGAAAAATTTTCTGTTTTACCTAAAACCATTTGATAAATACCAGCACCAAAAATAATCAGTAGTGAAGCTACAGTATCACATAAAAATCGTTAGAAAAATAAAAATTAGATAGTATTTTGTTAATTACCAATTTTAAAATAATTGCAAACTTGATGAAGTCGATTCGTCCATACGCCTGATGCTAAATTAATAAAGCCAACAATTAATAAAAGAAACGATGATAAACATTTCAACAATGCAGCCGGTGGTGGACATGTTGGATAGAACCAATAGACCAGATAGTTCGAAGCTGTTAATACACTCAATACAACAATCATCGGTCGTGATAGAACAACTTCAATCCAAACACGAAGAAAGCCTGGAAAATCTCCAAATGCTACACGAAGATAGGTATAATCACCACCTGACGATACATAAGAACAGCCAAGTTCGGCATAGCATAGAGCTCCCTACATGAAATATCCTAGATTTTAATATTAGTGAATTTTGTTTTTTAATTTTTACCAGAATACACAAGATACCGCAACCAATAAAAACCACAATCGACAGACCATAGGAACCAGAAAATTCCAGTACAGTTCTAGCACTGATGAATATACCTGATCCAATGATGCATGCTAGAAGAAGATTAATAGCATCGAGTAGGCCCATAGTTGGCTGTCGTGTAGTGCCTTGTGATAGAGTTCGTACATTCGCTCCATGATCATTATTTGATCGAGGCATCTAAAATGAATAAAATGGGATTTCCATAAGTTCAACTAATACAATGCTTTGTTTCTTTTTCTATGCGGAGTAACATAAATATTATAGAATTAATAGAAAAAAAAATATTGTCATTTAATAAGGAAAAAGATCTAAAAGTATACACAGTGAGTGAGTGAATTGATGGAATCTAACTGTATAACTTCATTCAACGTCTTTTCTGTTTCTCTCTCTTTCTTTCTTCAGAGTGCCAACACTCTATCGGTCACATACGTAAAAGAAAACAAAATGATTGTAGTAACAAAGAAAAATGAACTGACGCAGAATAATTCACTTGCAAAAGACGACATCATCATCATCATCAGTAGCAGCCGCAGCAATAGAACGAAGAAAAAGAGAAGAAAAAAAATGTAGAAATAGGTCACTCATGCTACCAATGTTTGCAAAACTTACTGCTTATTACATGTGTAAATATATAAAGAAATTATGTTTCTTTCGTGAGATACTAGCATCGCACTGTGTTTTAAAGTGCATCATCTCTAAAAATAATTTTTAATACGTATATATTTCGAGACCATCAATCAATCAAGTTTTTCTGCAACGATCAATTTACACATGAGTGAGGCAACGAGAGATGAAGTTTATATTCATACATACAAGAGCGTTTTCTATCGTTGCAAATATTGACAAATTAATTCAAGGCTTACTTATCAAAGCAAATAGAAATTGTAGTATATCTGTTGAATACAAAACCAATGGCATAAAATTTAAAAAAAACGTTTTTTTTCATATACGAATCTTTCTTGCGATGGCAAAAAGAAGAGAAATTCGATGTGAGACATCGATACAAATAGTTTAGTTATTTGAAGTTGAAACGTTTGTTTTTTAAAGATATAATATGAAGTTCTATAACTAAATATATTCACGTTTAGAGTTATGAATATTCTTGGCACTAGGTAGTAACAAACGATCAGATTACAGTGGATGAAAAAAAATGCTGAGAAATTAGAAAATAAATACATGTAAACTGATTTTTATGCATTTGAGAGAGCGAGAGCATGAACAAAAAATCAGAGGATCTGTACTGAAGAATTGGTACATTTCCTTGTTGCAGATAACTAAAATTATTTATTCGTAGTATTGAAAAAACATATTTGTAATTATAATTTTTCAAAATATATATATGATGCGTGTTAACAAATTCTGTCGGTATTCAGCATATGATCATTTTTGTACACTTGTATCCACGTCCATTGGTATATACAATAGTACCAACGATGAATAATGATCTCATTTTTAATAATGGCGATTCAATAAGAAAATATCAAGTTCAAATGTGATGCGACTCTTCATACTTTTTTTTTCTAATCATTATCTCAACATAAATGAGATTAATTACATTGATTTTTTAATTTTGAAATAAAAATCTATTATGATCTTGTTACTTAATTTATGCAAAATACTTTTTCCTTTGTGTATCAATGAACTTCCCATTCTAGAACGTCATGACACAACCAGGCCGAACTTCGATGTAGCTATATATTTTAAAGATTCGTCTCGGCAATCTATTGATTTAAGTGTAAGCTTGAATGAATAAGAAACTAATGAAATTTGATTCAGAGCCCAAGACTACTGTATGAATCTCCTTTTTTTCTTCGAATAAGTGTATATTTGATATGTGATCTTCATGATTAAGAATATTGAAGTTATCTCTTATTCATATATTCAAAGAAGAATATAAAAAAAAAAAACTTCTATGTACAGGTTGATCCAAAAGTCACTCGACTGTATTTGCTTTTTGAATGAATATTGAAAGAAAAAGGATAGAACGCTGTAGCTTTCGCCGGGCACCAAAGAGATTTTGTTAGTACATCGTTCCATATATAATGCTACGATGTCGATTCATAATTGAATTGTCCATCAGTAAGCTTGAGAAGAATACTAATAGATCTATAAGAATGACACTGACGTTCAATGCTGAGAAATGCACTAGATTCGCTCACTTCTTATTCACATACACGTCTGCTACAAATATCTAATAGTATTTTTCTGAAGCTCACTGAATGACTATTCGGTCATCAACTAGCGTTGTTGAATCATACATACATTGAACAATGAAAGCAACAGTTCTCCATCTTGTTCCTAGAGAAAAATATTCACAGACAAAGACTGTCAAGTGACATTTGAATCAGTCTGTATTTAATATTATTTCTGTTGACTTTTCCATGCTGCACGCATTAATATTATATCTTGACGTGGTTTAGCCAATTGACAAACTCGATCTGTTATTTGAACATTTAGAGCTTGTTCTGGCACTTGTTTTGGAAGTATATGAGGCTCTTTATAACCATTTGGGATTTTTTTCGGTTGTGCAAGTCTAGCTACACGATCGGAATGTCGAACTGTCAATGCTGTTGCTTTAACACCACTATAAGCATAATTGGTTAGGTTATCAAAAACTTCTATATAAATAAGGAACAAAACTTTGCCGATAAATTTTTTTCTAACATTACCCTTTCGAATAAGTCTGTCGCGTTTTATTTTTGGTCTTGACAAATCCTCAAGACGTGGCGAGCAAGACTTCGTACGTAACGTTGTCAGCGGAATTCCGGAAAAACGCGAACATGGACGCCGTGACCATGGATGAACAGTAAGCATATCATTGTAATAACTATTTCGTGAGAACACCGAATGATTCGTATCCATAAAATCATAGTGTCGTCTCGAATAAGAACTCATACGAGATGTTTTGAGTAAACTCTCGTGGCTTTGTGCTCGTTCATCGCTATAAAAAGTAGAAAAATTAATTTTTTTAAGTAAATCAAATACGTGATTTTTTTCTTGATTACTTCATTGTTAAACTTTCGGATGGATGAATTCTATGCAATAGTTAGTTATTGACTCCTTTCGACTTGCCTACACATACATACGCGGCAACAAAACAACATTCAAAACAAAAATATGACAACCATTTAAGTACAAAACAATATTTTTCTTTTTGTTCGCTTTTTGTTCTTTACTAATTCCATTTATGCAACGTGGGACTTTGCAATGGATGATCTTATCTAGTCTATCAAACGGAAATTCTTGTTTGAAGTATGCGATTTCCGGTATTCATCGATGTTTGAACTCTATCATCAAGATTTTCTCTCGAGAATATTTTTCATTCTAATTCTTTTCATGCTGTTCAATTCTGATTCTATTTGCGTAGTTCAACTTTCAATAACTGAAAGTCTCTGAAAGAATAATTACATCGTACATGGAAAAGAAAACGAGAAAATATGATAAGCTAGACTAGTTATTGTTCTTCTTTTTTCTTTTCATCATGACTAAACTGATTAGAATTATTTCGTCATTTCATCCATCTATCTATTTATCAGTTCGTCTCGTTCTTTAGTATATTTTTATCTGTCTTTAGTTCGGATCGGAATGCAATACAAGTGTGAATAGATGAATAGAAAGTCTAATCTGATTTATTCTTCTCTCGGTCTAAGACAAGACAAGAAGAAAAAGAAGAAGAAGAAAAACAGAAAATCTCTTCCAGTTGTTCACATTTTGATTTTTTGATCATTAACTGAAGGCAAAAAAGACATGTTTCTTAGTTATGCTCTTGTGTTTTTCCCATTGATTTCTTTTGCATATTCTCAAACAATAATGAATGTTGCAATTATTGATGATAATGACTATCCAACTGGAGTTCTTGATATTGGTATACCTAACGTAACGGCTTGTGATCGTCAAGGTTTAATACTTCGAACTCGATGGATTAATTCTTCACATTCTTTAACTAATGTTATGGATCAACTTGAATTTGATAAACATCAAACAAATATTTATTTAGCACGAACAAATAAATTTTCAACGAAATTAGTTCAAGATTTTTGTCAAACATATCATAAACCATTTATCAGTATGCGTTCATATGGAAGCGTAACATCAGCGTTAGTATTCTAGTCTTGTTGAAAAAAAAATAAAAACTGTTTTGTTTGATTTTTATTTCTTCAGATCGTTTAATTATGAATATTCTGTTATGCCTGATATTCTTCGTGTATTAGTAAGTTTCTTAAAATATTATCATGTCGAAAATGCTGCATATATCTATAATAATAATGAAGCAACACGGCGTATATATGAATTAATTAAATTAATGAATTATGATGAATATTTTAATGATTTCTCATTAAATATAAGAGCAACACGTAATCAAGATGTTTATTCACTTCTATATAATATTGAAGCTCATTCGATGAATAAAGAACAATCACCAAAATATATTTTACTTGATCTTGAAACATATGCAGATTATATTAGAATGTTTAATAAAATTTCACATATGGGTTTGTATTAGACACTTTTCTTTCTTAATGTATAAACAGAGTTTTATATCAAATATCTTCAGACAAAATAATCTATCCTAGAATTGTCTAATTATTGAAGCATAACTTTACGGGTTTGCACAAAAAACTAAAAAAAAAGAATTTACTTAGGTTCCATTTTCATTCTCGAACATCGATTTTTGAGGTCAAATACATTCAAATTGCATGAAATTCTTAAGATTTATTAGAAGTATAGTGAAGAGGCGATGTTAATGTTACACAATGACATTTTTGAGAGATATTCATTTAAGAAGTACCAAAAATAGCTCAGCAAGCAATTCGAAATTCTCAATGGCTACTTCTACTGCATGTTTTCTTATGTGAAGGAGTCTATATGCGTGTAGTGGCTCACGAAGTACTTTTGTGCCGAGAAAAAAAGGATGATCGATGAAACAGCTCAAATAACTTAGAAAGAAAGTGATTGTTAATTGCAAAAGATATATGATCGTATAATTATCCTCAAGCTTAGTACACATTAAAAAGACTCAATAGTTTCACTTGTTCTTTCAAACAAAGCAAAAAGACATTAGGTTGCGAAGAAATCTCTTCCTTGGAGAATTCTAGCGTAAACCATTCGAAAATTCTGAGAAAAAAAATGACATGTCAAACAAAAAAATCATATTGTTTGTGAAAGAATCGTCCTCGAGCTATCCTTTCATGCATGTATTCTAAATTTCAATAATTCTACCGAAAATGAACTCTTATGCTTTATGTACTTCCGAGTCGATGGCGTGTCGTAGAGATGATCAACATTTATTGAATTTATCTAGTCCTTAGAATAAATCTATCCACAATGATCATTGATTGGCCGAGAAAAGTATAATTCAAGTATAATTGTTTTTTTGAAAAATTCCTTTCTAATTATACTATCAAAAGATCCTATTGAAGTACCATCATTAGGAAGGAACAATATGAGATCTAACTGATGTTTTATAGAAGTATTTTTTCTAATTCAATTGAAAACGAACATAGATACAATGCAAACTCCACTGATTCGTGTTCTATCAGAGGTCTACCAACAGGATTTCATATTACCTTTAAAAAGATTCTGAATTATGTATTTGTTTTACAAGAATCAAAATTACCTTTCGTCGGTAGCCTTTCAAGAGTCTCTATCCGTTAAAATTCAATTTCCACAATCCATTGTCGTACTTGACAAAGCACAATATAAAACAAGCGCTAGAATATAGAAGTGCCAATAAAATAAGATGGAATAAAAATGATCTGTCCGATGATTACACTAAGTTACTTTTTGTTTTAGGTCTGACAGGTGATTTATATTATTATATCGTCTTGTCGAGTTTTGATGCTTGTCTCTGGATGAAGACTATGAATTTTACTGGTCGCGTAATTTATTTCGATTATCAAGAACGTGAGTGTATACTTGATAATCAACAACTGTCTAATTCGAATGAAAATTCTTCGTTATCATCGAAATTTAAACATCACACATCATATTATCGATCAACAATATCATTTCGCAGTGATAATGATCTTCATAAATCATCAAATTCTACACAATCGATGTCAATGAATTCATCATTAACATCTAATCTCTCCAATGAAACTGACGCGAAATATAATATGTGTAATAATAAAATCAATAGGATCAGCGAATATTTTTCATACTCCTATTTCATATCACAATTACCTAAATCTTATCAATTACATTCTCGATCATTGTTTAATTCATTAAATTTAATCATCAGTATTTTGCATTCAAATATAATCGACTGTGAAACATTATGTATAAACAACGAAAAAACGAAACCAATTAATTCAGATATTGCTGATGTTAATATCTTTTCAATAAAAAAATCAAATTCAAATTCATTTAAACGACCCGTTGAACTTATTGGTAAATATTCAAGTATTCATGATGAATATCAATCATGTAATACAAACAAACGTAAAGATTTGCCAAGAACACCAATAGGATCAAGATCGAAAATTTATTATATAACAAGTGTATTTGATGAGCCATTTCTTATGTTACGTAAATATCCGACTCATAATTCAACGCACCCTGTACCAGAAATCGATTTAAAAAAATTACAAGGCCGTGTATTTGATTTTCATGAATTAGAAGGATTTTGTTTGGATTTAGCTGAAAGAGTTTGTTCAATTTTGAATATAACATGTAAATTTCGTATTGTACACGATGGAGGTTTTGGTAGTAAAAATGCAACAAGTGGCACTTGGGATGGTGAGACACATTGGACTTATTTTGTCTTCTGTATATGACGTATCTTTTAATTTAATTCCTTGTTTATTTTTACATATTAAGGAATGGTTGGCGAAGTTGTATCGCGAGTAGCTGATATGGCTATTGCTCCGTTAACAATCAGTCAAAAACGAATGGAAGTTGTCGATTTTAGCAAACCTTTTATGAATCTTGGTATTTCTATTATGGTATGATTGATTTGATGAATGTCTATTGATAGAATGATATGTACTAATGTATTGATTTGTCATAGTAGTTTTTTTGAGCTTGTCCGAGTATAGAATAGTGACAGAGAGAAAAATCTATTTGAAATTAAAAAGTAACTGCGCTCTGTGACAGACTTTTTATCCTAAATATTTCGTTTATCTATATGTAGGGATTGAAAAAATTGTTACCCATTCCATATTTTAGTCTGAATACGACTGTGTCAGCAAGTTTTATACTAATTATAAAACTTTCTATTTTTCTTTAGATTCGAAAGCCTGATGCACAAAAGCCAGGTGTATTTTCATTTATGAATCCAGTTTCAATGGAAATTTGGTTATGCTTTTCGTTAGCTTATTTTGCTGTTAGTGTTGTTTTATTTCTTACATCACGTGTTGTTAATTCTGGCTGGCGTCGACGTATTGTTCGACGACCTTCATATCGTTCCTATTCATATCCAAAAAGTCTTAATGATAAACGCAAAAGCGAAATACAATCTCATCGGCAACAGCAAGGTTCAAGTGAATCATCAAATTCTTCTGAAATAGCTGCTGCGCCATCACCACCACCGAAATCATCAACACGACGTCGACATCGTTATCGAACACGACATCGTATGGCAGATAGATCAGACGATGAAGCAAAAGAAAAAAAACAGCAAGAAGAAGAATTTAAAAAAAGCGACGTTCATTTATTTGGAATTTCTAATGCATTATTTTTCTCATTTGCGTCATTTATGCGACAATCAATTAATCTTGTACCGAAATCTTTATCGGGTCGTGTTGCTGCTACATCATGGTGGTATTTTTCATTAATATTTGTTTCATCTTATACAGCTAATCTCGTTGCTTTTTTAACTGTGGAAAAATTAGTTACACCAATTGAAAGTGTAGAAGATCTTGGTAAGTTCATAATTATATATATATATATATATATATATATGATGAAAATGATATCATAATAAATTTTATTTAGCTAAACAAGAAGAAATTAAATATGGATCAGTAAGAAATGGAACAACGGCAGCGTTCTTTGAAAAATCAAATGTATCAATATTTCAACACATGTGGGCAGTTATGCAACGAAGTGCATCTGAAGTAATGGTTCCAACCAACGATGACGGTGTTGGAAAGGTTCGAAATTCAAAAGGAAAATATGCATTTTTTATCGAGTAAATTTCTGTTTGAGTTTCCAAAAAATAAATGTGCGATAAATTATTTTGAAAAACAAATTTAGATCAACAAAAAATGAATATGTTAATGAACGATTTCCATGTGATACAATGAAAGTCGGTTCAGATTTAGATTCGAAAGGGTACGGTATTACAACCAGGCTAGGCTCAGATTTAAGTGAAGCAATTAATATTATTGTAACTAATCTACGAGAGTCAGGTTTTTTGGATAAATTGAAGCAACGTTGGTGGTATGTTGTTATTGTTATTATTAATTTTTTTCGATTTATTTGTTTGTTTTCTAATCGTAAGGTTTGAACGTTCTCAATGTAACCAATTGGCAAAAGATAAACGCTTTAGTGAATTAAGCCTCTCGAGTGTTACCGGTCTTTTTTACATATTTCTATTTGGTATTATTCTATCATGTGTTATTGCTTTTACGGAATTTCTTATCACAGCAAAAGCCGAATCAGAACAATTAAACATTGATTTTCGAGAAATACTTCGTATTAAAATGATCGAGTATGTTATTCTAATCATTTTTCACAAGAAATTCATTATAGTGAATCAAATTCATTCTAGAAATCTTGTCGGCGTTACAATCCATGCGCAACGACAATTGGAATTTGGTCGTGATGAAAGCGAATCTAATTATGTTAATCCACATGGAGAAGATGAAATGATCCAACAGTATACGCAATATCAAATAAATAGACAACATAGTGATGTTTAAAACAGTAATAAAAGATATTCTTGTCGTGTACAAATAGTTGAAAATGAATATTTTTGTTGCATGTAATTATCATATTCACTATATTGTGTTATGTATAAAAAGTTAAATGTTTTTGCTTAATGTTCATGACTAGAAAGTTATTGGAACTCTGTAGAAGATTTACTCTTGATAGGTTTCGATTTCTAACCAGACTTGAAAATATTTCAACCGAATTGTATCCCAAATGTAAAATCATTAGTATGAAACTAAACTACATATTATCTCAACAGGTTCATGAACATATTGTAGCGTACGAATTGTAGATTTTTTTATTAAACGTTTCTTTATGTTTGTCGCAAGAATTTTACTAATGTACATATATATCTTTTCAACACATTCCTGTTCGTCTGTTGAATGGCAAGGTCATAGTTAGTGATCTGATCAGCGTGGTGTATACGACCCACTGGAATGATCTGAATTATGCATGACAACGATAGAAATTTTTTTTAATTTATAGGAATATATATTTTTTATCTGGAGGCAGCTATTGGAATTCTTCCGTTATTTTTACGCCTATTAGCAGGGAGAGCTTACACATATCAATATGTAGGCGAAGTATTTGAGATTCTATTCAAGGATTCTGAGTATATTTTGATAAGTATCTAAGTAGTCTTCACTACATGCATTCATACTTACAGTACAATAGCGTTGCATTATTATTATAATTAATGCGCCCTATTGAATTTTCAATAAATAAATAAATACCAATAGAATCTTTCTCGGAGGCCTCTTTTACATAAATATTACCGTGGATCATTTTAGTTAGTAATAGTTTATTTTCGTGATGATACACAAAATCAAGCAACAGCATAATACAGAAAAGAGAAAAAATGAAGATGACAAGGGAATAATTAATTGACATAATGTGTAGAACACTTGCCTATTTTCAATTAAAAACCGTTTCATATTTTAATGAATAATCGTATCAAAAAATTGATTTTAAACAAGGAAAGTATGCTTAAAACTCTCTTGAATGTACTGTAATTGCAGGTACATTAAATACTAAAGTTTCACCTTTGGAACAGTTACGAAGTGTTTCATGACGTACAAAATTTTCTGCTACAGTTACCAAGCTGTTATACGAAACGTAAAGATGAATGAGATTCGGTAAACTTGTGCAGGTATCGACCAAGAATTGTTCAGCAAAGATAGCACGTTGAAAATAGATACTCAAATGGGTGAGATGATCGAATTCAACGATTGAGATCATTTTATTGTTGGTTGCCTCTTCGTCATCCCGAAATCTATTATTCAAAACGCCAAGATGAGCAGCAAGTGGAAACGCCCGAGCGATGCGAAGCAAAAATTCATGTTTAAATGAATCAACTCTGTCTGAAAAATACTAGTGTCTTACATTTCTACATATATCTCCTTGAAAACCATAGGAGATACAATAAATATTGTTTGCGTGACATGGTAATGAAAATATATGACACTGAGCAATACTATCTGGATAATGACTAATGTAACAATTGGCCTGGTCATATCGCCAATTGAGAAATGTTCGACGAATATCATCATTTGATTGTAAAAGTGTTTCATTATTCGAAGATCCAATGTGAATCTTTGAAGATGTGACCGATAAATAAGAATTTCATTTTCAAGATGAATACCATCGATGAATCATCTCGATTTTTCGTCGACAGGGGAAAGTAAAGCCAGTTCTTCCAGATATATCATTTGACGAATTATTGGTAAAATATGAATATCGGATACTTTTGCGTGGCAATAAGAAATTAAAGAGAAACATTTCATACTAGATATAGTCTTCTACAATAAAAAATTAGAAAGACTATAGCTGATACCAGGGTTGTTGATTGTTTCTAGGAGC